AGGAAAGACTATTCCTCCCATAATCTCTATCAATCTATTATAATTTTTACTCTTATGAAATATAACAACAAAAAAATAACATAACATTCCAGTGTCACAAACTCACTTTAAGGGAAAAGAACAACGCACTAAGACTTACATAGTTTTATCTTATGAAAGATAATAAAACTAAAATAAAAAAATAAAATTTGCAAACTTCCCAGTGGCATATCATAAGCTTTGGAAATAAGATGTACAGCACTTTTCCTATCGATACTGAAATTATTTAAAGAGCTTAAATCTATTTTCCAATCTGTAGCAAAAAATATTCTGTTAAATCTTTTTTTTTTTTTTTGGACTGGCAATCTGCAACAAATTACTTTTACACACTAGAAATTATCTTATTGCTTTGCTTTTCCCTGAGAATGATCAAAAAGCATAGCTTAATAACCTTGAAAGGTTAATAACCTGAAAAGGATGAGGAATTAATTCCGTGGGGAAAGATTCCCAACCCCCCATCTCAAAATCACTAAATAATACTGATATTCAGCATTTACAAGATTAACTCCAGGGAGTAGAACAGTTACCTTGCAGAGTGATGATAAAGCTTTTGGTGCAACCAAACTGCTTGAATCCCAACCATTTAGTGGGTGAAAAGCTCTCGCTATTACCAACTCAGGGTGAAATGCCATAGTCAAATGCTTGCATTTCAGCGGGCAGGATTGGGGTGTGTATGTGTGTGTGTTTTAACACGATGTACCGCCTTCTGAAACAAGATAAAGAATTCTTAGGCCAAAAAAATAAGGTTATATGTAGAAAGATCAGACTTGCCTCAAATGTGATAAAACCTTTATGTCTAGGCCATGAAGGAATTTTGATTGCTGAAAATGTGATCCCCAATACTACAAAGCATTTTCTTCCACAGAAGTGACTGTATCTTTTTACTCTTCAAGAAGACAATGGAAGGCGGTATGGAAGCACACATGTGAAGCCATCTTTCTGGGTTCCCAGACAGCTGTGACACCAACATCAGAAGCATCTCTAGAAATGTATCTTCTGGAGGAGGCTACATACTTTCCTATGAGTAGCATATGGAAGCATGCACCCTCTGAACCTCAGTACTGGGAGAGAGATAAGGCTTTTGCTTACAACAGTTATGGAAACTAAAAGATGTATAATTTGCAATCCCTGTTCAAACAAAGCACAGTTAAGTATCCCAAGGTAAGGCCATCTATTGTTTTACAAGAATAAATTTAGCCATTCAATTATTGGGGATAAAACAAAGACCGCACAAAGCAGTACCAAGATAAAAGTTAAATGCTACTGAACAGCCACTTGTTTTCTATCCATGCTGCTTTTATGGATAGAAAATGGAATTTGTGTTAGGCTTAGAGAATAATTCTTCCCAAATCCTAAATTTATCCAAAAATTGTATTTATTTTTACACACAGACATAGACACACAGTTCAAAAGGTTTCGCATCATTACTTAAGGTTTCATTTCAAAAGAAGTGTTTTTGATGAGACATAGGCTTTAATGCCTATCTTTTTAACAGCAACATTTTTTTCTAGTTTATGCCACAACTCCCAACGATCAAGACAAGGAAAGCTGCTGTATAGATGCTGTATGTGCATTCTCACATGCTCTGAAGCATCTCTTTGGAATCAACCCTGAAGGAATCCATAGGTGCAGTATTTAAAATATAAAAAACAAGCTTGTTAGTAATGGGAGGAAGGGGAGTGGAAGAACCTGTAGCCTGATTCAGTCATTGGTGCTATAGTCCTCCTACACACATGGATTTTAAAATAGCTATTATGTGTTGTGAGTAACAGTTAAAGCATTTCTATGGAAGAAAAAGCTCTTATGACTTTCTGCCAGCTGTCATATGCATTGGTCCAATTTTACTCAGCAAGGATCCCTCAAATGTAGCACACATTATTTTCATAAAAATCATACCATCACAGGGCTGGAATGGAGCTTCTTGTCCACCCCCCTGCACAAGGCAAGAGCCCTAATACCATCCTTTCCACCTCTATGATTCTATCCTGGACAAATGACTGTCCAATCTTTTCTTGGAAACCGCTAGTGACAGAACACCCTCAACTCTGGGAGGCAAGCTGTGTCTAATTCATTAACTGTTTTTACAGTCAGGAAATTCCTCATTTCCAGGCTGGATCTTCCTCCGGCAAGCTTCCGCCCATTGCTTCTTGTCCATTTCATAGGACTGACAATAGCAATTCCCTAACAATTATCTAGGGAAGAACATGAAGACTGCATTTGAAAAATAGAGAATAGGTTTGATGTTTGCCAAAGGAAGTTCAGCAGCAGTATGTTGTTCCATAGTCATTTCCCTATATGCAGTCACTTATTTTCTTTCATGAGACAGCATATTATTTGAGGGGGAAAAAGTGACGTTACTGCCATCCTTACTCCCCAAGCCAAAAGTAACTTAAAAATGCCATTAAACCTGCTGTGGCTGAACAAGGAACTGGGTATCTATGAAAAAGAAATATGTTTATGTGATTCATGGGGTGAAAGAAAAGATCATGGCCATTCTAAAATAAACAACATATTGAAAATGAGAGGCAGAAAAGATAATACTTCAGTGATAATTCTTGGTGAAGTATAGGAAGGTGAAGTAAGGAACTAAAGACATACACAAATGCCAAAAATACCAAAAACGTTTCTTTCAATACATAAGGAATAAAAAGAAAGTCAAGGAAATGATAGGTCCACTTATGGGAGATGGTAAGATGGTTCCTTCTTTGCATCTGTCTTCATATGAAACGAAAAAATAATCCAACCTATCAAAAGCAGCACCATGGGAGACTCTAGACAAGATGAGATCACCTAGACCAGATGGATTACATGCCAGGTTTCTGAAGGAGCTGGCAGACATGATCGCAGAACCATCGAACAAAATCTTTCAAATATCCTGGAGCACAGGGGATCTACCAGAGGACTGGAAAAGAGCTGGTGTCGTTTTGATCTTAGGTTGCATTAACAGAGGAATAGAATCAAGATCACATGAAGTAATAGTACCCCTCTACAAAGCCTTGGTAAGACCGCACTAGAATACTGCATCCAGTTTTGGTCACCCCAATAAAAAAAGATGTTGAGACTTTGGAAAAAGTTCAGAGAAGAAGAACAACAATTAGGGGCCTAGAAGCTAAAACATACGAAGAATGATTGCAGGAATTGGGTATACCTAGTCTAGTGAAAAGAAGGATCAGGGGTGGCATTATAGCAGTCTTCCAATAGCAGTGGAACAAATTGCATTCAGAAATTGTGGGTGCCCCAACTCTTGATGCTTTTAAGAAAAGACCGGACAGCCATCTATCAGAAATAATATAGATTACCTGTGAGAGCAGGGGGTTGGACTAGGTGATCTTCAAGGTCCCTTCCAACTCTATTACTATTACAATTTTCAAAAAAGGGAAAAAAGTGGAACCAGGAAACTACAGACCAATCATCTTATCATCAATACCCAGAAAATCATAGAAAAAATAATTAAGCAGTGGATTTGTGAGCACCTAGAAATGAACAAGGAGATTAATAGAAGCCAGCATGAGTTTGTTAAAAACAGATCATGACAAACAAACCTTATTGCCTTCTTTAATAAAATGGCTAAATGGATTAGGGAAATGATGTGGATATAGTATGACTGGACTTCAATAAGGCATTTGACAAAGTATACAGCCTATTTCTTGGTAAGAGAGAAAAGTGTGGGATAGACAGTATCACCACCAGATGGATTCACAGTTGGCTGACCAGGCACACCAAGTATGTAATCTCAATGGTGCTACATCTACAAGGAAGGAAGGATGCGGAGGGGTACCTGAAGGTTGTCTTGGGCTCAGTACTCCTTAACATCTCCATAGATGATATAGAAGAATGGACAGAAGGAGAACTCATCATGCTAACAATTTGGAAGATAGACTTAAGATTCAGAAGGATCTTAACATACTAGAGAAACTGGCTCTATCCAACAAGATGCAGTTCAGTCATGAGAAAACTAAGGTCCTGCACTTATGCAGGAAAATTCAATTGCAGAGTTACAGATTAAGCAGTTCTGGGCTAATAATAGTAATTGTGACAGGGACTCCTAGCTGGACCACAACTTAAGTATGAACCAGCAGTGTGCTGCAACTGCCCTCCCCCCCAAAAAACCAATGCAGCTTTAGGTTGCATCAATAGAGGAGTAGCATCAAGATCACAAGAAGTGATAGTAGCAATTTATACGGCACTGTAGGACCACACTTGGAATACTATGTCCAGTTCGGGTCACCATGATACAAAAAAGGTGTTGAATTTCTAGAAAGAGTAGAGAAAAGCAACAAAGACGATAAGGGATCTGGAGACTAAGCTATGTGATAAACAATTAAGGGCAGTAGGTATGTCTAGCCTAATAAAGAGAACGATTAAGGCTGAAAAAGCTGTCTTCCAGGACTTGAGAGGCAATCACAGAGATGAGGGGGCTGACTTATTCTCCCAAACATCTGAGGGCAGGACAAAAAGCACTGGGAGGAAGCTTGTCAAAGAGAAATCCGACCTGGAACTAAGGAGAAATTTACTGACAGTGAGAACAATTAGCCAATGGGACAGCTTGTCTTCTGGAGTTTTGGATGTTCCATCGCTGGAGGTTGGCAAGAAAAGATTGGACATTCATTTATTTCAGGTGGCAGGGGATTGAACTAGAAGACCGCCCAGGTACCTTTCAGCCCTATGATTCTATGACTCTATATGCTCATTTCCTTTTTCTTGTTGCAGAATTCTTTAGATATGCTATTTGGAACCCGTACGGCACATTCCTCTATACTGAACTTTCCATGCAAACTCCCATTAAGTGAAATGTAAAAATATTAAGGAATAGTTTTTTAAAAAATACATTCAATGCACATTCCAAATGTATAAAAAGATGAAAGTTTATGTATTATGTCTGTGGGGGAAAAGCAAAAATGAGTAGAGAAAGAATTCATGTGATTGCCAATCCCAGATAACTTGTATGAAAATATATTTCCTTTTTTTTATCTAGTGAATGGTATCAATCATGTTAAAAAGTTGCCAGCATCCAATGATTTGTCCTGAAGTTTACAGATGTTCATAACATATATCTTGAAGCCTATCATATTCATTCCAACATGAATGCCGATAATCAGTCAATGTTACAAATTTCTCTTTCTGCCACACATACATGCTGGCTACATGCCATAGGACAAAATCTATGGGTAGATAGTGATTGGTTGCCCTGAAATACTGGAGAATGCACAAACAATTTTAACAGTATGTATATATTTGTTATTTTTCTTTTATCTTCACTGAAGTTCCTTGTTAAACAAACTTTTATAGAAAATTAGTTCTGTCAAAGTGGCCTTAAGGTATGGGGGGGGGAATCCAGCCCACTTCCACCACTGTATAGAAATTAAGATACATTGATGTACATATTACTTGTTAAAGCAAGCAAGAATGCAAGCTTTAATTTATGTGAAACTTACATGGCATATTTCAAAAAATGTGCTGTATGATACAAAGGATTTTACCACAAAAGATTAAATAAATGCATAATTTTACCAATCAGTCTTCCATGAAGAGTATTCAGTGAAGAAACACAATCCCAGCTTCATTCCTTTGGAGTTGCAATGAGCATTTTCACTCAACTAAAAAGGGCTTAAAACCCCTTTCTGAGGCTGAGTAAATCACTTTATTAACCTTAGTTCAAAAGCATGCAGGGATAGATGCAGCAACAGCAAACCATCCATACTTTCTTTCTCAATAGGTCATTGATATTACCATTTCACTAGTAAGATTTTGTGTTAAAAAGGGGAATAGCAGCTGAGCAGAACAGCAAAATTATTTCACTTCAAAGAAAACATTTTCTACAATGTTTGCACAGAACCCTGTCACCACAGTGATAAAATGATCTCTGAGTCATTTTCTTTTCCAGCATAAGATAGGCAAGAAAAAAAAATGCACAGTGCATTGGGAAAAGACAAATCTAGCTAAAATATCCAATAATCCTCCCTCCTATATTTGAAGGGATCAGCTCATTCTATTAGCATTAATGAAGAGAAGGCTTTTGAGAAAAAAAATATCTTGGGATGAGGATGCCCAATCAAAACATTTAAAAAGTCATAATTAAGGCAGTTTGTTGCATTCCTGCTTTGGCAACATCAATACAGCGAGATTCATGGGCAGACCCGGTTCTGACCGTTAGCCTCTCTTCTGTGCCATATTTTTCTTCTTGGGAATGTGTTCCCAATCCTGCCTGCAGGGAAGTAGGTAAATAGAGCACAAACTCCCACCTTTGTTCCAAACATGTTACTAAGTCAGCAAAAACCTTTGCATTTCTGATACTGAGACAAGAAGGCAGGAAGCAAATTCAAGATTCAAAGAATATGACCAGAGATTTAAAGATCTTGCAAAACAGCCCTAGAATGACACAAGCTGAAGTGATTATTTGCTTCTTCATCCCATGTATATAAATGTGAAAGGGAAAACTGCAAAGTGACTTCGTGTTGTTTCAGCTCCTTTGTAAAACAGGTTTCATGCCAAAGGCACTGGTCCTAGTTGTCACCCAACTCTAATTTTGACGACTGCTTGCCCCGTTAGTGGTTTCATCAAGAGTTTCTTCAGTGACCTCTACATCCTCATCCTTTTTAAGTCCTCTGCGTGGTTTTTTTGCACCAAGAGCATCTTCCTTTGTCAACTCTGAAGCAAGTAATGATGTGATTGCACAGCCAAGATTTTTGTTTCCTGGAATGACACAGAAGCAAACAAAAACTAAAATATTAAAAAACAAAAAAGTAAGTATACGCTGAAGATAATGCTGCATAATATACTAGCCATTTTTTTCTCAAATACTTTAGTTTATACTTGCTCATAGGAGGTCTGAGGAACTCCACAGAGTTGGGGCAGCTATAATGAAAACTCTATCTGTAGTGAAACACAGTAGACAATTGTGACCCAGAGTGTGGAGCCTTTAGAAAATGGGGACAAAGCAAACCTCCCTCCATTTTTCCTAGAACTGATTTTCCTTTGCAATATTTAAAGTTATGATTATACATGCAATTAAGTATTTTGGTCAGAAAATATGCAAAGAAATCATTAGAATTGTATGATGGTCTCTAGAAAAAAATGACTTCGTGAGGACTTTATTTTTCAGCAAAATTCTGATCAGAGGAGTAACAGCTCTGTATAGCAGCTACACACAAAGGAAAGGAAGGAGAGCATGGGAGTGCTGATGAATCTGAGGAAAAGGGGGGGGAGTTAGAACTCAGCTCCCATTGATTCATCTAATAAATCTACAATCACTAGTCAATAAAATGAACTGCTTCTAAATCAGAACAACCTTGATTTTTGTAACACATCAGTTCTCTACTTTACAGAAACTTGGCTCAGTGAGATTATCCTAGATAGTATAGTAGAACTCCCTGGATTTCAGATTCAAAGGGCAGATCAGGTTACAGAGACATTTGGGGGGGGGGAGGGAAGAGAGGTGGTGGAATTTGCTTCTATGTTAATAACCGCTGGTGCAAGGATGTCACAGTACTAAAGAAATGTTGTAATACGGACTGAGTCACTATTCATCAATTGTAAACTCTTTTATGCTCTGCAACAGTTTTCCTCATTCACTTTGGTTGGAGTTTATATATCACCCCAGAATTGCATGAGCAGTGCAATACATACTCTAGCAGACCGAATACTCTGCACAGGTTGGAAATATCCACACTCCCTACTCATTGTTTTAAGGGATTTTAATAGAGTTAATCTCACTCATGAGCTGCCCAGATACTCAGCATGTTAGCTGTCTCATTAGAGGCAAAAACATATTGGATCATTGCTATATCTATCTCAGTCACTCGAGCCCACCCACCCACCCCTGATAATCCTGGAAAAAGATGTGCAAGTTCTATTTCATAGGCAGAAGATCAGAAAAGCTCCAGGTCCGGATGGAGTGACTCCTTCTTGCTTGAAAGCCTGTGATACACAACTGGCGCCCATCTTCACTCAGATTTTTAATAAATCACTGGAGATATGTTATGTCCCTTCATGCTTTAAACTGTCTACCATCATCCCAGTTTCTACGAAATCTTCCATCAGGGAGCTGAATGTCTACAGATTGGTTGCTCTGACATCTGTAGTCTTGAAAACCTTTGGGAGGTTAGTGCTGGCCAAACTGAAAGTCATCATGGATCTGGATAGCCCCTTGCAGTTTGCCTACTGATCAAATAGGTCAGCAGACGATGCTGTCAATATGTCATTACACTACATTCTGCAACATCTTGAATCTCCAGGGATCTATGCATGGGCCCTTTTTGTGGACTTTAGCTCAACGTTCCAGAAATTCCAGAAATTCTCTACTCTATCCAACTTACTATACCTGCTCATACTTGTAGGTAGATAGGATGCAACAGGTGAGGCTAGAGAAAACTACATCTAGTACCTGGGCTAATGAGTACAGGCGACCCTCAGGGCTGTGTGCTCTCTCCGTTACTCTTTTCTTTCTATGTCATGACTGCACCTCAAGGAACCCTCCATTAAAATTCTGAAGTTTGCTGACAATACAACAGTGATTGGCCTCATTCAAGATGATGATGAGTTTGCATATAGACGGGATGTTGAAGAACTGGCCATGTGATGCATCCATAACAATCTGGAGCTGAATATGCTTAAAACTGTAGAAATGACAGTGGATTTTGCCACTTCTTATCTTATTTGACAGCACAATATCAGCAGTAAAGTCCTTCAAATTTCAGGGTTCTATAATTTCCCAGAACTTGAAATGGACACTTAACACTTTTAACATTAGGACTATCTTTAAAAAGGCAAGAATCTTCTTCCTGTGTCAACTCAGGAAGTTCAGACTACCCCGGAGCTGTTTATAGTTTACAGAGGAATTATTTAACTGTCCTATGTTGTATAACAGTGTGGTTTGGTTCAGCAACCAAACAAGACAGGTACAGATTCCAATGGATAGTTAAGACTGCAGAAAGAATAATTGCAACCAGCTTGTCTTCTATAGAAGACCTGTATATTGCATGGGTCCGAAGGGCTGAGAAGGTATCTGCAGACTGCTCATATCGTGGACATAAACTGTTTCAACTTTTTTCCTCAGGATGGCGATACAGGGCATTGCAGGCCAAAACAACTAGACACAGGGACAGTTTTTTCCCTCAGGCCATCACTCTGCTGAACATCTAATTCTCACAGTGTTATCTAAAGTCTATGCGTATTTACACAAGTAATATGTCTGTAGCATTATTATTTATCCTTCTTATTATCTCTCTTACTACCCCCTCTTATTGGCATAATAATTATTATAATTATTCTGTTGCTTTGCACGTATATTAAGAGCTTCTGCACCAGAGACATATATTAATTTTCCATGTTTACATTCTCAAAAGAATGCCCTGCTGACCATATTACAGCCCTTTATAAAATATATTTTTATTATATCAAACTATTGGAGAGAAAAAAATATATACCCAGGACATCATTGCCAATATAATATGTAGCATTAAAATGTTTTGTCACAATAATAAAAAGGAAAAAAACCTGGAAATCTACTAGCAGATTTAATACTAATTTTCTTTGCTGGAAACCTCTCTCCCTCAAATATACTACTGCATATCAAGCACAACTTTCTTTTTCCAGAATTAGTTCAATCTCTAAACATTCTACCGTAAATTTTTTATTCTGATGGTAGATTTCAAATACTGGGGATACAGCCAAAAAGAACATACAGATCTTTATATAATAATAGAACAGAGCTGGAAGGGACCTTGGAGGTCTTCTAGTCCAGCCTCCTGTTCAAGCAGCAGAACCTATACCATCTCAGACAGGTGATTTTCCAGTCTCTTTTTTTTAAAACTTCCAGCTATGGAGTGCCCACGATTTCTGGGGGTAAGCTGTTCCACTAATTGATTGTCCTCACTGTCAGGAAGTTTCTCCTTAATTCCAGGTTGCTTCTCTTTCTGATCAGCTTCCAACCATTGTTTCTCGTCCTTCCCTCTGGTGCTCTGGTAAACATCTTTATGGCAGTCCCTCAGATACTGGAATACTGGTATCATGTCTCCCCTATTTCTTATTTTCTTTAGACTAGCCAAACCCAAGTCCCACAGCCGTTCTTCGTATGTTTTAGCCTCCAGGCCTTTGATCATCTTAGTTGCTCTTCTCTGAATTCTTTCTGAACTCTCAACATTTTTTTTTTTATGATATGGTGACCAAAATTGGCTGCACTATTCCAGGTGTGTCTTACTAGATCTTGATTCTATGCCTCTGTTTATACAACCCAGGATTGTATTAGCTTTTTTGGTTGCTGCTGCACACTGCTGGCTCATGGTCAAGTGATCGTCCACTAGGACTCCAAGGTCTCTTTCAGTTACTGCTTTTAAGCCAGGTCTCGCCCAATCTGTATCCATGCGTTTGGTTTTTCCTGCCTAAATGTAGGACTTTGCTTTTCTCCCCGCTGAAACTCATTTTGTTGGATAGGGCCCATTGTTCCGAGTTTGTCAAGATCTTTTTGGATCCTGAGTCTGTCTTCTGGGGTATTGGCTATTCCTGACAGTTTGATGTCACCCACAAATTTGATGAGTTCCCATTCAATTCCCTCGTCTAAGTCATTTATGAAGATGTTGAAGAATACAAGACAGAACCTTGTGGTAACCCACTGCTTACTTTTCTGCATGTGAATGTAGTGCCCTTGAGGACTACTCCTTGAGTGTGCTTTGTCAGCCAGCTACAGCTCCATCTGGTGGTGATGTTGTCTATTCCACCATTTTCTAGCTTGTCAATTGTGGTCTATTTTGTCAAATGTCTTACTGAAATCTACTACATCTACTATATCCACTTTGTCCCTTTCAAAAAAGCATTATCCTCTTGATATCAGCCCTACGTGCAATAATAGTAGAATCAGAACGTAGTAATGAATATTCTAAAATGATTCTGGAAATTCTTTTGTAAACATTATTTTATATGGCCAGTACTCACAAAATAATGTTAATTTCATAAGATACTACTTTTCTATAGAATATTAATTTTCTATGGTTTAGGAGGTATGTTAAATTTCCCAAAAATCTCCAACAGTGGATATAGATCATGTAGGTTACATAACAAATGTTTAAGTTTATAAACTACCAAGAATCACTCTGAGGTAAATCAAATTTATATTTAAATTTTATTCAAAATTTTGAAATCTTGAAAACTGACATAATTCAAAATATCCCATTTATTCACGTTGGATTTATTCCTTTTCTTTCTTTCTTTCTGTTGTGCAGGCAATGAACCTGATGATTCGCCTGATTTCCAAGAACCTCCTGGAAAGTCTTCTATTAAACAAATGAACCACAACATAACCTAACCTCCCAAGCTTAAACTTAGCAAATTATTCTTATTTCCCAGTGGCATTAAGCCTGGTGTATTCTCATTTACAGTATAAGCAGGCAGGATACCAAATTTCTGTGCTGATACCTTAACAACATGATCTGCTGGAATTTCAATCAAGTTTTCAGAATTTCTAAATATATAGTATAGGCAAAAGGTTTTAAAGATAATAATGTCATGTAATGCCAGATAATATAATAATATAAGTGTATGTGTTACAGATTAAAGGTAAATAACTTCTAGACTTCTGGTTTTCCCCATTTTTATTACCTACAATTGTGTTTCTTTTCCCAAAATCATTGCCTCATGCAACATAATTAAATTTCTATTTTGGAAAAATAATCTTAGGCTATTAGTATTTTACAAACCACAGTAGTCAGCAGTATAGGAGATCAGGGGCACACTGGAATACAATGATGTGCAAGCTCCTTGTTTATTACTGTCATGCAAAATCAAGAGTTTTATTTGAATAGCCCCTATTCTGGCCATATTTCTTAATTTCTATAAAGCCTGTATATTTAGCCTGCACTTCTATTAAGTAGCTTAAAATAATGTGCATGGGCTTTCTCCATTTTATCCCAAGAGCTGCTATTTTGGGCCAATGATTGATACTGTGTTTTATGAATAAACAAGATTTGACTAATCTGATCCAATAACTAAATTCCACATTATATTATACAGTATATTATGTATGAACTACATGGTAAAGACATCAAAGTTTTGTTAACTTCAAAAGGCAAGTGGATTTTTTTTTGTCTATTCAATTCTGTCTTCCACATCCCAAAACCTAGAGTTGGTTCACAATGGTATTAAGAAAAATGATTATTTCAAACTTGCTTTGAAGACATTTAAGCAAAATCATACCTTGGCGTGGTCCTCTTTTTCTACGGAAGGCTGCACCTGACTGTAAGGCTTCTAGTAGACTGTCCATAACTCCTGTCTCATCTCCTTCTGCAAGAACAAAATATAGAGATTTCTTGTTATTTTCATTGGCACTTTCTTCTAAGGAGTAGCATTATGGACTCAAGAGTATGGGTGTTCTGGAATATGCACTGTATGTAGAAAATAAAATAAAATTGTCATTAAAGTATTTCTTGATAAAAATGAAGAAGTCCTGGTCATGTTTGAAAATTTACTATGTGAAGACAACAATACACAAAAGTTTTTCTCAAGATATTTTCCTTTGTCATAAACTGGGAGAAAACTTTTTAAAATGAGAATGTACAATGGAGGGTTTAAAGAAGATTTCTTCCTGGAAAAGTTTCTGAGGCATTTTTCCTTTGATAGATTTATTTGTTATAAACACATAATTGCCAATTTGGATATAAAGCAGGGATAACAAAGAAAAATTCCTTATAACATTTCATCTCTTCCTTTATGTCACAGACTTTCTGCTTTAATAGTACAACTATGGTATTACTCTGATGCCTTGAAATCATTAGTACCCTGAGGTTTTTTTTTTTTTTTTAGAGCTATACATTTTCTACTGATCTACTTTTTACTCTACACAGCTATCAGAGTATTAAGACTGGCTGAAACAGCCAGTTAATATTGTTTCCCTAGCAACAAGCATATTCATCTCAAAAACAGGAAAAGTAAGAGCATCTACATTTCTCCTATGATGAAGACTGTGTTTTGCCAATGCCTTCTTCTGCTGGACACGTGCACACGTATGTTGTGTTGGTTGAAGATCCTCCTGAGGTGCACACTTCAAACCTAAGAATACTCTAAGGCAGAAGCTTGTCTACCCCAAGGATAAAATACCCAGACACAAACTGAGTAACATGGTATATGCAGTACAATGTAGTGACCCATGCGCAGATCTGTACATTGGAGAAACAAAACAACAACTTCATAAATGCGTGGCACAACATAAGAGAAAAAACCCATCAGGATAGGAGTCAGCACTCCATCTGCATTTAAAAGACAAAGGCCACTCTTTTGAAGACAGCAAAGTCCACATTTTGGACAGAGTGGACCGCTGATTTGAAAGAGGGGTCAAAGAGGCCATCTATGTCAAAACTGAACAGCCCTCTATCAAAAGAGGGGGAGGGATCCAACATCATCTATCTCCAGTCTACAACACAGTCCTTTCAACAGTTCCAAGAAGGCTCCACACCCATTTGCACTACTCAGGTGACCCTGAAGGCACAGATAAGCCTCCAGGTAGCTTTAACCACTCCCTAAAAGACAGCTGTCTGCAGGAGTATAAATCTTTCTATTCCCCACCATCCAGTCAGAGCTGAAGAAGCTTTTTGGATGAGAAGTGAAAGGTCTTCAAAGAAAAATAATAAAGTCCAGTTGCCTCTTGAAAAAGTCCCTTTGGACAACCATGACCTGGAAGACTGAGAATCTCTATAGATACTTAAATGCAGGCTTAAGAAAAAGAACAAATGGCATCTCTTTCAACAGAAGCAAGAAAGCCAGGACTATCTTAGAGGGCAGAGAAGTATATGTGATAAAAACTATTGGTGTGTGTGTGTGTGTGTGTGTGTGTGTGTGTGTGTATAAAATATTTGAAAATAAAATTATTCAAGGTCTTTAACACAGACTCTACAAATATACATTTAAAAGTCCCTGAAAAATACAATACTTCCTATTCCATTTGAATGTTTGCCTCCCCCAACTCTCATCAACCTGGCACTGAATGTGTTAACTGCAACTTCATGAGCAGCTTGCAAAATCTGGTTTCCATAGTAACAGCTCCTGACAAAACATAAACCTATAAAATCACATTAGAACATCTGCTGGGGTTTAGGTAGACTAAATCCATTGTTTGTACTGCCACCTGCTGGTCAACATAAATGGCTGGAAGCCTTCATTAATGGGTTCAAGAACAGCAAACGAAAATGCAGAGGAATTGCATTTTTTTCCCAACTCCATCAAAAAGAGACCATGGCATGGTTAGGAAAAGGAAACAGGCCCTAATTACAGATGGTTCCAACAGTGAATTATGAAGCACCGCTTTACAGCACTGGAATTAAAAGGCATATACAATGCAGCTGCTCATTTCCCATTACTTTTAAGCAAAGAAAGCAAACTCCTTTTAGGATAGATATTTTGAAAGCTATGTTTAGCCTTACATTTATGTGTGTGCATACTCACACTCAGTAGTTTTGCTGATGCAACCTCATGTGGAACATCACATAAATCAGACATATCAAACTCGTGATGTCATGTGACAATCGTGTGACATATTGGGACTGTTTTGCCATTGCTGGCAATGGGTTGGGCCCGGCTTCTGCATGACACGTCGGGGTGGGCCAGCAGTTTGACACCCCTGACATAAATGATGTAATTGTACAAGTTTGTGATCTCAATTACTGTCTTTTTAATAAAAATGACCAGGTGATAACAAGTTGGCAATGTAGTTGTATACATTCACATCCCCAAATCTTATCTCACTGCTTTTGGAAACATTGTTCAGGGAATACAGCTTGGCCATCTCCTGAAAGAAATGATACAAAGGAGTTTGGAACCATCTGGCAATCAAAAAGAGCCACATGACAGATGATGGGAGGCAGCTAAATAGGCATTCCATCTACTTGTTGACACATTTGAGGAAAAATTTAAATACTCCCATATTTTTCACTCTTGCTTCTCCATCTTGATTACCTAACCTGCATTTTGATTTGGGCTTCCCAAAAAATTACAAAAAGAAAAAGAATAGTAGTGCTAAGAAATGTACAGAATTTCAGACAGGAATGTTTTTAGATAAAAGAGACATTAAAGAATGAATTTGGTCCTTATGGATCAGAGTAAAAAAAAAAACAGAAAATTATTATTATTATAACACAAGGCAAGGATTTTAAAGCTCCATCTCTAAAGTTAAAAAAAAGGGTTGGAGCAAAAGCAGAGGAACCCCCCCCCCGAGAAATAAAGATGTGTCACCACAAGCAGTGAGAAATAATTGTGCCAGAATGGGAATCGTTCTGTGAAACTTACTGAGCCTTTCCTTAACTTTGCCAAGTGCAGATACTTTGCAGATATATTAAACATTGCAGTGTTCTACCGCAGCAACTCAAGACAAGGTTGTGGGGGAAGGGGAAAAGAATGTGAAGAAAACCAAATGGCATGTCATTTAGCACAACTTCAAGCAACTCAAAAGGAGACAGAAATGGCAGGAAATTGTGGGAGTCAGGAAATAGAGAAGTATGGTAATTGAGTCCGTATGTTCCAAGAAAAGGGTAGCCAGGTTTTTTGTTGCAGTAAAAAAAGAAAAGAAAAGCCAAGAATCCTATGGCATCTGAAACATTAATAAATGTATAATCACAAGCTTTTGTGCTTCTAGGCCACTTCATCAGATGCATGAAGAAAAATCTTGAGAGAGGGATTGCCTATGTATGCAGAATTAATTATTAGGGGAGAGGAGGGGAAGAGGAGGGAGAGGGCAGAAGAGGCAGGATTGTATCAAGGGAGACAAGGAAACAAAGCAGCTTTAGATATTAATAAGTAACAGTAAAAGTAGAATACCTGTCAGATTTTTGCAGCAAAAGCGACAGATCTTTATCATCCCAAAGTCCATTAAATCTAAGTAAAGGAATGTATGCAGCAGCAAAAATATCCATTTGTACAAGAAAATAGCATAAAATGGAATACTGTAATCCAGAAGATTTGCCTTTTGAAAAGGGCCATTTAACCTAAGAACCAGAATCTCCCAAATCTGCACTAATATGTGAAGGTGCAGTCGATTATAGGTAGTCCTTGACTTATGCTCGTTCATTCAGAATTGTTTAAAATTAAGACAATGCTGAATCAAAGGAATTACAACCGCTGCCTGAAGTAACGGCCATTGAAGAACCCAGTGGTCACATGATCAAAATTTGGCCGCTTGTGAACATGCACACTCTTTTATGACTGTGGGCATGCTGCAACTCACCTAGCCTGCCTTTCTTCCCCCCCCCTCCCCCCATCTAGGCTGCTTTGCAGACCAGCGCTCAACTATGCAGATACTATGGAGACAGATGATCCCTAAAATAAATGTCCTCTAATGAGGCCAATTTTAAATCTATTAAGCACAGTCAGTAGTTCTCACAGTCAAGTACTGTAGATGCTGACTAGAAATGATCCCTTTTCTGCTGGGAAGAATTTAGACAGGGACTAAAAGGCAAGTGGACAAGGACCAGGAGACTTTTTTAAAAAGAACTTGAGACAAGATGGGAAATCCCTATAGACTTTATTTGGCCCATAGTGAAAACTGGATGGATCCTGAGCCACAATCAAGTAGTGCCCTTATGATATTACCAAGGAAGAGAAGTCTCTTCTTCCCTTCTCAGTTGGAATTTATACAAGCCACAATATTCATGGTTCAGTTGTTGTTGTTGTTAATTGCGAAGTCGTGTCCGACCCATCGTGACCCAATGGACAACGTTCCTCCAGGTCTTCCTGTCCTCTACCATCTTCTGGAGTCCATTTAAGTTCACACCTACTGCTTCAATGACTCCATCCAGCCATCTCATTCTCTGTCGTCCCTTCTTCTATTGCCCTCAATCTTTCCCAGCATTAGGCCCTTCTCCAGTGAGTCCTTCCTTCTCATTAGGTGGCCAAAGTATTTGAGTTTCAACTTCAGGATCTGGCCTTCTAAAGAGCAGTCAGGGTTGATCTCTTCTAGGACTGACCGGTTTGAACGCCTTGCAGTCCAAGGGACTCGCAGGAGTCTTCTCCAGCCCATAGTTCAAAGGCCTCAATTCTTTGGCGCTCAGCCTTTCTTATGGTCCAACTTTCACAGCCATACATTGCAAATGGGAAAACCATGGCCTGGACTATACGCACTTTTGTTGGCAGAGTGATGTCTCTGCTTTTTAGTATGCTGTCTAGATTTGCCATAACTTTCCTCCCCAGGAGCAAGTGTCTTTTAATTTCTTGGCTGCAGTCCCCATCTGAGGTGATCTTGGAGCCCAGAAAAATAAAATCTGTCACTACCTCCATTTCTTCCCCATCTATTTGCCACGAAATGAGAGGGCTGGATGCCATGATTTTGGTTTTCTTAATGTTGAGCTTCAAGCCAACTTTTGCACTCTCCTTCTTCACCCGCATCAAGAGGCTCTTTAGTTCCTCTTCACTTTCTGCCATTACAGTGGTATCATCTGCATATCTTAGGTTGTTGATATTTCTCCCGGCAATCTTAATTCCAACTTTTGATTCATCTAGCCCTGCCTTTCTCATGATGTGCTCTGCATATAAGTTAAATAGGCAGGGCGACAGTATACAGCCTTGCCGGACTCCTTTTTCAATTTTGAACCAATCAGTGGTTCCGTGTTCAGTTCTCACTGTTGCTTCTTGACCCGCATATAGGTTTCTCAAGAGACAAATGAGATGGTCTGGTACTCCCATCTCTTTAAGAACTTGCCACAATTTGTTGTGATCCACACAATCAAAGGCTTTTGCATAGTCAATGAAGCAGAAGTAGATGTTTTTCTGGAACTCCCTAGCTTTCTCCATGATCCAGCGTATGTTGGCAATTTGATCTCTAGTTCCTCTGCCTCTTCGAAATCCTGCCTGTACTTCTGGTAGTTCTCGATCCACATACTGCTGGAGTCTAGCTTGTAGGATTTTAAGCATAACTTTACTAGCATGTGAAATGAGTGGTATGGTACAGTACCTGCATTCATATCAATCAATTGTTCTCTCTTCTTTTGCTTTTCTTGACGTTCTTTCTCTGCTTTTTCTTTTGCTAGTTTAGCTCTGCGCATCTTCTCCTCCATCTCACGCCTTTTCTGATTCTCCTTCACACATTGCTAAAAATAAGACACAGGTGATAAGATACACAAATGGAGAGTCATAACAATGAATCTGCTGTGTTGTTATGATATGCATATTGTATTTTTCATTTAGCAGAATAAAAGAATGCAATGCTGGCTACCATGCAAGTAAGTAAACAGTGATGAGTTTATAAATGATAGATTTATTTACTACCTTTATCCATAAAAATTAATAGAATCACAAAATATACAAGTAATGTATCCTTGAGAACCAAATGCTGGATGATATACCTCACTCAGCATATTTACCTAAATTTATTTTTATTTTACTCAAATAAAAATAGGAACATTAATTTAACTATAAATATTTTGTTTAAATACAGCCCTACCTCAATAAGCTCTCATCTATATACTATATTTCTCTATAATCTACTTCTCTGGCTTACTTTATTTTACAACACAGCTTTTAAAGAAATGTTTTGAGTGTTTAGACTTATAATGGATACTGACATACTTTTATGGAACTTGAATGTATTTAGCAATATTTGTTGTCTGCGTAAGTACTGACCTATTTTTCAAAATTTTGTCTTTAGCAGTCCAGCACACTGAACTGATTCCTATCAATATCAACCAGCTTACAAATTAATGTTGACAATTATAACCCTATGAATCCTTGGGAAATGAATCCTTTGGTGATATAAAAATATAACAATTAAACAAGCAAGCAAACAAATAGATAAATCAAGTGTGAAAGACCAAAAATCCAAGAAAATATAAAAACACAATAGGAGCAAAGTATGGAGTGTTTGCAACAGAAAATAGCCACCTCCTTATGTTATACAATTTAAGTTTGTTTCAAAGTATTTTACTTGTTGCTTTGTTTGATGTAAAAAGTACAGCACAAATAAAAAGGTGCTCATATTGTAATTAAATATGTAATACAAAACTACATATTGTAATTAAAACGGATGCTCACCACAAACATATTTTTGAAATTGCGCAGATTTGTGAAGAACTCCTCAATAGATATCTTATTGGTGTCAAAGAGGAAGTATTGTCCTAATTCCCCATAAAGGTTTTCCATATTTGCATGCATCATTCGTAACTTCTCATATTGTTCTTGGGCTTCCTTAACAAAGCTGTAAGACTAGAGTTAAAGATTTCTAACAAATTGTAAGCATACTTTCCAAGAATAAGTTGATTACTTTAAAGTTGCTGAAAGTTTGTTTTTTTGTATTTTTAGTTTCAGATTCTTATCCCACCCTTTTATGTATAAAGCAATTTGACAAAATAACACCACACAATTAACTAACAGGAATTAAACACAGTACTAATGTAACAAAGCTCTTTTTTGCAAAATAAATTCTGATTAGGTCATTGTGATTCACCTCATTTTTATATTCCATTGACTTCTAGCCATTGGAAAGGTCATTGCTGACTGCAAATAATTTACTTCTCTGACTGCAACTCTTCACAGGGCACAAAGGGAGGACTCAGCTATAGCTGCTTTACCTCAGGGGCCTTTAAGCAATCATAGCTATTTTAAAATTTTAATTTATTGATATGATTGCATCAATAAAGTATTAATTTATTATTAAAGCTATTTTAAATATACTGCAGGTTATTAATTCGTAATTTATATATTTTAAAAAGCAAAGTAAAATGATTCAATACATAAATAAGCAGCCTTTCATTGCAAAAGATCATCTGGGTACTTGCTGCTTAATCTTATCAATAATTATCTGTTGGAATAACATCAAATGTGAGAGCTAAGCACACTCTCTCCAGTTCATTGGGTTCTCTCTGAACACTAAAAGGAACTCATTTCTAGAGGCATGTTCCCCTGCATTTCTGATGATAGTAACACCCTTAATTCATATGTTCAAGATTATAATAAAGAATATCCTCTCTATTGGTTTTAATAGCTATTTTTTTCAGAATCCTTTTTGAATCTCCCTTGCAAAGACTGTGATATATAAGTGAAGATGCTGTACTCCTGTGATGTCCAATGCAGCTTTTAAAACCACTTTTAAGAGGTTCACCACCCTAACTGATACTTGCACCAGGAAGAAATGCCATCCCAAAGTGAAAAATGCTTCGGGGGACGGGACTTAGGAAAATTCTCTATTACAAGCAAATGTTTCTAGTTATCATCCTCTCAACATTTATACATGTATTAATGTGTAGGTTTGTGTCTCTGCAAACCATTATACTACAACATTCAGTAACTGAATTTGTGGTAGGAACTCCATCCCTTCATATTGTATACTTAGAACTAGAATGATTTGTTTACCATCTTCCAAATTCTTAAAATTGTTTTATTCTACATGACTTATTTTGATAAAAGAAGGAAAGAGCACTTGCAGCAAAGATGGGCACATTGTATAAAATCCAATAACTGCTCAAAATAAATAAGCGAACCAGTTACAGATAAGGAATCTATTGTTATTCATCAACTTCATTCCTCTCTATGTATCACTCACATTGGAGTGTAGCAAAATTACCTAGGAGGTGAGCCAAGAAGTCCTCAACAAAAGATGTCCCAACCCTTTCTAGAGCTTTCTAAAGATACACCTTAGAAATGTAATAAGCATCTTTCAACAAATTTTGGAGAAATTGTTCTTGTGAAAATGACTTAGATGGGAGGCACATATGAGAGGCAAGATAGCCTACTGAAAAAATGTTGCCAAGCCAAATTTTAGCCCTTTAAAAGAAATTACTTCTAAATTCATAAAGCAAGATAAAAAGTTAGCAAATCCTCTTTCACTGTTGGAAGAATGGTAGAAAACAATGTCCTGATGTAATGAGAAACAGATATTAACCTTCTATACAAGAGTAATTTTTAATCACAATGTCATTTTGTCTCATTACTAAATCTAGAGGGCAAGATGTTTGCCACTCTGCAACCACTACCAAAAACAAATTTGTGTAAACAACCAAAGTGAAATGGTAGCCAGTAATCAAGTGATGTATGTGTTATGTTAAAAATCACTCAAAATCTCAAGTGAGGACTTAATTATGGTGTTTCGGGATGTAATTTGTGCAATTTTGCCTAGTATCAATTAACTACAGGATGATAAACTAAAAAGGGGAGATGGTAAATGTCCATGCTACATGGATGTATCTAGGGGACAGGATTTCTGTGGGTTCAACTATGGAATATTTTAGAAGAATAGGGTACACATGTGCAACCCCGGATGTACACAGACCATGGCAAATAAGCTTTATTTATTCATACCTGGTTCTTCTGCCTGCAAGTTACCCAAAGAGACATCAGGAAGAGTTATACACTTTGTGCTTTCAACTGTTTGAATGGGAGATTACTCAAGGACGCAGTATCAATAAATATATGTCACTCGCTAAGGGTTCCTATTACTGTCATTACCTTGTGAAAAATGAAACAACTCCTCTTTTGGTACAGTGTATCTTTCTAATACTACTAAAGTATGTCAATAAACAGTGATATATTAATGCCACTTTAAGAACCTTAAAAGACAAAATTTGCTGAACTTTATAATGAAAACTAAGATTCTCCGAAAAAATAATACAAGAATGGGAATTCATTATTCAAAGTCTGGTAATACTTGCATTAGTAAGTACCTATACTGACAGCATTAGAGAACTTGGTTTTTCTAACAGCTGATCTTTGCAAACATCCCGCTGCTGAGCAGTTGCTCAGTGTTTTCCTCATTCTAAAACCAGTGATTTTGTCCCTCAATATCATAAATAAGATTCTTTCTTTCATAGGTTATTTTCAACAGTTCTCAGTGCACATTTTTGAAGGATATGGTCATTTTCTCCACAAATTTGTCCTTCTCTTCTGTACTACTGGGGAAATTGTTAACATCATGCTGTAGATCTGAAATCTGTTTGTTCATCTGGTCCAGATTTTTCCGCAAAATTTCAGCAGAAACTTGGGGAAGAAAAAGAGACAATACAGCAGAATTGCAGAAACAATTAACGTCAGCTAAAAGAATAGTTTTTATTTGCTGTAGTCACATTCTCTAGGAAGCCAGCAAGTATATTCTTTGGACTACCTGCTTCTCTTAATTGAGAAGAGTTAGTCTGATTAATATTACTTCATGGGACAGTTTCTATTTGTGTTCAAGTTGAACAGAAAAAAAAACTTAGGAAAGCTAAAAAAAACTTACAGAAGTGAGAAAAAAGTAGGGTTATGCTCTAATTTGGTATAAAATCAAAATCTGATTTAAAATGGGGTAATATAAAGTATGTATTTCTAACTTGTCTTATTTCCAATTCTCCAATGCTCCTCAACTGCTTGGGGAGGAAGAAGTATTGAATTCATGGATTTCAAGGGCAAACTTCAAAGTCATTGGAAGTTAAGCAGCATACAAATTTAATAATACATAAAAATAAATGGTGAGGTGATAAGAGTGTAGGAAATTAAAAGGGGTTTTTTTTTGGAATAACAAGAGATCTTATCCCAGCTATACTATTTGTATGCTTTACAAAAATCACAAGCTGGGGCAGAAGGCAATACATAGTATCAGCAATCTGCTGATTCACTGAGGAGGCATAATCAGTCTGCTGTTGTAGCAGCAAAGATGAGAAAGCCTGGCAACAAAGGCAAAAGTCAGTTGCAGTACAACAAAGGCAGTGCACATAGTCCCTTCTTTTCAACCTATTCTATATCAAACCATGCAGACTCCCTTGTGTAACCAGAGGGACAAATATGAATTCACAGAATTGTGACTTCAGAACCAGCATGCACCATCCACATTGATTAACTAGGATATTTTAAGATCTACACATTCAAAAATACTGTGCCATTAATATATATGCTCAGGAATGCCAAAAAAGTTGGTTGTATGTGACTCTTGGCTTAAGAGCAGTGTTTGTCAGTGAGAAAGTGCAATAAAGTGATGGATTATATTAGCAAAGGAGAAGGCCTGGAATTAAAGGCAATAGCATTTATGACAGGAAGTTATATAATTCTACATATACTAGATTTTTGCAGTCATTAGCACTGATCATTTCCAAAGCTAAAATAATAATGCTATTTAACATTTGAATATTGTTTTCAGAGCATTCAAGACACTAAAAAACATACCTGTAATCCTAATAACACACCTGTATATATTGTAAACAGATAAAAAATGAAAAAGAGAGATAAAAACTGACTTGGCTAAGAATATCTAAGTTGTATTACAGCTTTAGGTTATATACCACTCTCAGCATAAAACAACATGACTGAGATTTAGGAATAAGCTTATTTCATTGGGCTTAGGTGGTCAGATAAAATCTGGACCAGGGGGGGATACTTGTAGGAAAAATATATGATTATAAGTAAACAGACCAAACATAATTTTTCTTCATCATAATTCAATTATAAATTACTAGAACAAACATCTGCAGCTATCATTTTTATATTTTCCTCTCCACACTTCCTGCTATGACAGACACTAAGTCCAAACATAGATCTAACATTTCTATCAGGAAAGAAAATAACAATGGAAGCAGGAAGGATAACAAAATAGAATGATGCAAACCCGCAGAGAAGATTTTACTCTTGCTCATTCCATATATATGAAGAAAGCAGAAGCTGAAATTCTATTTTCATAGATAACTATATAGTTCTGACCGAAGTTGACATTACAAATATCATCTAAAAATAATGCAAATCTATTTAATGAATATCATTTGCTTTCCCCACACCCCAAAAAGGAAATAGTCTGAAACTGATCTGGGCTGTACTTGCCTAGTTGAAGAAGTGAACGAGTTGTGATTAAGGATCTTCATTGTGTTATGGCACATTTTTTTCTTTGCTTTTAAGAGTTTATTGTATTCTTTGACTGGTACAGTTTCAATGATTTGAACATACTACTACATTTGTGTCAGAAATACCTACCAAAGCACTTCCGGATTGAAAGGATTAGTCGGTGACATTACAGTTGCCCAGGGGATACCCAAGAGGGCTCCTTTATATCTCTGTTATTTTCCCACTGAAATGGTATCTATTCATCTACTTGAATTTACATGCTTTCAAATTGTTAAGAGAAAAGGAGCTGGGACAAATTGTTGGGAACTCATTCTGTTATGCAGCTCATGTTATTGAATCTAGAACTGCCAAGCTGTAGACCTCTCATTGGTCTTCCTAACCACAAGAGTCACCACAGCCCCTGATTTAAACATAAAACTGCCATTTGTGGAGCTCTGTTGAATCTAGCTGTGCAATGGCCCCATCAAATCCCAGTTCAGAGGAGGAGGGGGAGTTGGAACCAGGGATGGCACATTTCCCCTGGAATGTCTGGAGAGCCCAGGAGCTGAGGATGATGCTGTCCCAGGCCCCTCTGGCATTGGGGGAGGTGGTTCAATCAGATGGGGAAATGCCTGCCCTCACAAACATAGGGAAGGAACGGCTGCAGGCAGGCAGTGGTGATGAGAGGCAGCAGATTCCCTTTGATCCGAGGGCATACAGAGAATGGAGCGGAGAGCTCAAAGGAGGTCTGCAAGGCTGCTGGTGAGGAGGCCGCCCCACTCCTCCTCCCAAGGAACACCTGGCTTGAGATGATTTTATCAGGGGAGGGTGTCTTCATTGGGAACAATTGTTCTGCTTTGGCACACACTTCCCTGGCCTTTGCAAACTCTGCTTTGGATCATATTTTTGCCCTGTGAACTCTGACCTTGCTTATGGACTATGGGCCTTGCCTTTTGGACCTTATTTATGACTTACGGGCCTTGCCTTGTGGACTTTGCACCTTGTTTTTGGACTATAGACTTCCTCTTTGCCTTGTGAAATGAGCTCTGGAGACTTTTGGCTTTAGTTTGTGGGATTGTGTTGCACTGATTGTGGGTGGCTGTCTTCGGGAAAGTTTGGGGTGGAACTTTACTGGCTGTTGCAGGGCCATTCGTTGTGGGATAGCAATGCAATAAAGGACTTTAATGAAACCTGCATCTGCCTTGGTGGCCTGGATCATAACTGACTGAGTGTAAGGACCCACCCCACTATGCATCTTAAGAAGACAGAACTCTTGGAATAGTTCTTCCAACAGGCATCCTTTATTAAGAGAAAATGGTTGCAGGGTTCTAGACAGGACTTGGGGTCCAAGCTCTCCCATTCAAGGTTTTAAGGGGTTCCCCAGTAGCCCCACCCAATCCCCCCCTTCTTCCAGCGACAGTCTCAGGCATTACACTCCCACCCCCTTTTCCTTACTGCCGGCTGGATGGAGACTTCAGAGAGGAGTACATGAAAGGTAATAGCCCCATTGTTATGGTTAGTCCTTTTGGTGATATCCACATCCAGTCCCTTTGAAGTGTACTGAAGGAAGTGAGGGCCATAAAGCCCCTTTGTTCACCCCCTTCCCTTCATCGTATGACAGAATCCAGAGAAGGCAGAAATGGGGTTTTCTATAGTTGATAACTAGAGATGAAATATAATTGGATTCTGAGTCAACATTAACAGTCAGCAAAATTATTTTAAGAGATAGAAAATAGAACAGAATATAATTCTTTATTCTATTATCTCTGGTTCTTAAGCTCAGTGTACATATAAACAAATAATAGGTCATAATAGATTATAAATCATAGTTATAATCATTATGATTCTACAAGATGTAGAATCAGAGAATCATAGACTGGAAGGGATCTTGAAGGACTTCTAGTTCAACCCCCGCCCCAAGACAGGAGACCTTACCATTCCAGACAAATGGTTGTCCAACCTATTTTTGAAAACCTTCAGAGATGGAGCATCAACAACATCAGGATTAATTGTTCTGTCAGGAAACTTCTCCTTAGTTCCAGGTTGGATCTCTCCTTAACGAGTTTCCACCCATTGCTTTTTGTCCTGCCCTGAGGTGCTTTGGAGAATAAGTCAACCCCCTCTTCTCTGTAACAGCCCCTCAAGTACTGGAAGACAGTTATCACATCACCCCTAGTTCTTCTCTTCATTAAGCTAGGCATACCTAGTTCCCTTAATTGTTCATCATATGGTTTAGCCTCTAGAGCCCTTATCATCTGTTGCTCTTTTCTACACTCTTTCTAGGGTTTCAGCATTTTTATTATTATTCTCAATCATCGCACAGTCAGCCAGATGTTCAGACTGGATTTGGCATTTTGTCTACCTATTGAGTACTTACCCAGGACCTGGGATAGGCAGATGTAGATGTTTGATGGTATTACAGGTATCGTCGCAGGATGGAAGCAGTTCCTAATAAGGCCGCCTTTTGCAATTGACTAATAGCGAATTTGTCAATGCCAATGGTGTTCAAGTGGTGCTCCAGTTGTTTTGGGATTGCGCCCAAGGAGCCTATGACTATTGGTACTACCCTTGCTTGCTTTTGCCACAGTCTTTCTATTTCTATTTGTAGGTCTTTGTATTTTGTTATCTTCTCCAGTTCTTTCTCTTCTATTCTGCTATCTCCAGGCACTGCCACGTCCACTATCCAGACTTTTTTGTCTTTCTTATCGACAATTGTTAAGTCTGGGGTGTTATGTTGCAGGTGCTTGTCTGTTTGAATTCTGAAGTCCCAGAGCAGTTTAATTTTATCATTTTCTATGACTTTCTCTATTTTATGATCCCACCAGTTTTTGCTTACAGGCAAATGATATTTTTTGCAGATCTTCCAATGCACCATTGTTGCTACTTTGTCATGCCGCTGCTTGTAATCAGTCTGTGCAATCTTCTTGCAACAGCTTACCAAGTGGTCCACTGTTTCTTCAGCTTCTTTGCATAGGCGGCACTTACTGTCTGTTGCTGTCTTCTCAATTTTGACTTTGTATGCATTTGTCCTTAAGGCTTGGTCTTGTGCAGCCAGAATTAGTCCCTCGGTCTCTTTCTTCAATTTTCCTGCTCTTAGCCATTGCCAGGTTTTATTATTATCTGCTTTCCCAGCTATTTTTTTCATGTATTGGCCATGTAGTGCTTTGTCTTCCCATGCCTCTATTCTGTTCTTCATTTGGTCTTTCTTGTAGGCCAGTTTGGTCTCTCCAGTAGTTAGTAAGCCTTCCTGATATACTAATTTCAGTGCATCTTCATCATTGTTCTTCAGATATTCTTCCAAAGCCATTTTTTCTTCTTCAACCATCTGATGTACTTGTAGCATTCCACGCCCACCTATTTGCCTTGGTAGATAAAGTCTATCAATGTCACTGCGTGGATGAAGGGCATGATTCATTGTCATTATTTTTCTGGTCTGCCTATCCATTGCTTTTAGTTCTGCTTGAGTCCAGTCCACTATTCCAGCTGTGTACCTAATGACTGGGATTGCCCAGGTGTTGATTGCCTTTATGGTATTTCCTCCATTGAGTTTGGATTTTAAGATCTTCTTCACTCTCTTGATGTATTCACCTCTAATCTTTTTCTTGACTTCAGTGTGCTTGATGTTGTCAGCTTGAAGGATACCCAAGTATTTGTAGTACTCTTCCTCATCCAGACTCTTAATGTTATTTTCGTGGGGCATCTTGATTCCTTCAGTTTTCACTATTTTTCCTTGTTTGATAGTAAGTGTGGCACATTTGTCCAAGCCAAACTCCATTACAATATCTTGGCTATATATACGGACAGTGTTGAGCAGCGATTCTATTTCAGATGATGTTTTTCCATACAGCTTCAGATCATCCATGTAAAGGAGGTGGGATAGTCTGGCAGATGTTTTTGATGTTTGATAGCCATGTCCTGAGTTATTCAGTATTGTTGACAGAGGAAACAGTGCAATAACAAATAGTAATGGTGATAATGAATCTCCTTGAAATATTCCTCTCTTGATATTAACCTCTCCCAGCTTCTCACCATTGATCTGCAACTGTGTCTTCCATTGTGCCATCGATTTTGCACAAATTTTCTGATGTTTCTACTGACTCCTGTTATTTCTAGGCACTTGATTATCCAGTCATGTGGCAGAGAGTCAAATGCCTTTTTGTAGTCAATCCATGCCACATTCAGGTTGGTCTTCCTTCTCTTGCAGTTTTCCAAGATCATTTTGTCTATTAGGAGTTGATCTTTTGTTCCTCTGCTATTGGGGCGGTTTCCTTTCTGCTCAGGTGGAAAGAGATTGTTTTCAACTAGATGCTGTTGTACTGCATCAGCTACCACACCAGTTAGTAATTTGAAAGTTGTTGGTAAGCAGGTAATTGGCCTGTAGTTACCTGGTGTTGCCCCTTTTGCTGGATTTTTCATTATTAGGTAGGTTTTCCCAGTTGTTAGCCACTTTTCAATTTCTCCTCCTTGTAGTATATTGTTGAACTGCTTGGCAATGAGTGGGTGTATAACAGTTAGATGTTTCAACCAAAACCCATGCAGTTCATCTTCACCTGGTGCTGACCAATTTTTGATTTTCTTTGCTCTTTTTTCTACCATTTTTGTTGTTATTACTAGTTCTTTCATTTCAACTTCTGTTTTATTTGCATCCACCTCTTTTAACCAAGCTGCATCCTTGTTGTATTTCTTTGGGTTATCCCATATCTGCTTCCAGAATTGCACTGTTTCTTCCTTGTCAGGTACTGACTGATTCCTTGCAGTTTCTCCATTGATGGATTGGTAGAAACGTTTCTGATTGGATTGAAATTGGAGGTTCTGCCTATAGTTTGCAATTCGAGCTTCATATCTACTGATTTTCCTGGCTATAGCTGTTATTTGTTGCTTTATTATTTCCAGTGCTTCCTTGATCTTCCTTGTTTCTAAGTGGTATTTCTTGATTAGGTATTCTTTGGTCTTCTTGTTCTTCAGCTTCTTTTCTTTCATCTGTTCTAGCTTGCTTGCATGTGATCTTAACTTGCTGATCTTATTTTCTAGTCTAACCTTCCATTTTTGTGGTGCACTGTTTGTTTGTTTTTCTTTTTTGTTGATTTTACATCCCAGGTATTCTGTTATAACTGCAGCTGTGCTGTACATTAGTTGGTTTGTTTCTTGCAGTGAATTGGTGCTTATACTTGCTATTGCAGTATTTGCATCTTTTAATGCTTGTGCTAGCTGTTTCTTTGGAACAAGCTTCAATGCAGGCAGCCTTATTCTGTTGTTTTTGTGCTGTTCTAGATGCTCAATTATTCTTTGTTTCAATTCTTTTATTTCTTTAGTTAGAGGGTTTTGTTCTTCCTGAGGAAGAGGTGCCTGGTTTCCAAATGAGAACAGTTGTATATCTCTACTGGATTCTTTCACTGCCAACTCCCCCTGGTTTGCCTCTACATTCTGAATTACTTCTGGTAAGGCTTTGATTTCTTTGCCCTGGGTAAACCTTTGCAGTTCGTCCAATTCTGTTTCTGTAAATACTTTATTTCGTGTTATAAATCGGCGTTGATCTGCTAGTCTCTGTTCTGTTATTTCTGATTCTGGATGTTGTTCTTTCCAGAACTGGTGCATTCGTTTTAGATATCCTCTTCTTGTTGGACTTGATCTGTAGTAACAGATCATTATTTCTTTGTTTTCCATCACTGTGTATCTGCGACGGGTAAATACCTTTTCTTCCAGTAGTTCTGCAGCTGCTGGCCCTGGTTGCTCAGCCAACAGTCCTGAGTCCTGTAACCCATTTTTCACCAGATATCCAGGAACTCCAATATCTAGTGCGGACCTTGTTAACCCGGGCGACGTCCGAGCCGGTATGGCATTCTGCAATTTACGTCTCACCATATTTTTTATGGGAGAGACACTCTTTGTCTGACTCCTCTGATGAGACCTGTCCAGTATGGTTGAACCTCTGGCATAGCTCTCATCTTCCTCAGAGTACACAAGCCCCACAACCACGTCAAGGTAGTGCCTCACTGGGGGTTATTATTATTATTATTATTATTATTATTTGGTATTGTGCCAACCAGATCTGGACGCACCATTCCAAGTGTGGCCTCACTAATGCAGTATAAAGCGGTACTATTACTTCTTGTGATCTTGATGCTATCATTCTATTGATGCAGCCTACGACTGCCTTGGCTTTTTTGGCAGCTGAAGCACCATGCTAGCTGGTTCATTAGATTTACTAGGATACCTAGATTATTGCTATAAACCAGGTACCATCTATTCTATAAGATTTGATTTTTCTTGCCTAAGTGCAGATCCTTAATTTTCTTACCATTGAATTGCATCTTGTTGGCTAGGGCCCAATGCTGAAGTCTGGCAAGGACCTTTTGAAGAGTGTCAGTAAAGTCTATCAATATATCAATCTCAGAAATCTTGGATTCTTAGATACTAGATTATGTCCCTTATTTATTGATTCTAAGAGGGGAGCAATTGTATTGCATTGACATACTAAATTCATTAGGCATAACTTTCAAAGATTTCAAAATTTGAGGAAACATAATTGTGTCAGATCTGAATTCAATATAATGCAGACACAAGCAATAGAACAAAATCAAACTATTGATTTCAACTGATTTCAACAAACTTAGAGAGAGGTTGAGAAAGATTCTCTGGATGAAAATCTTTTAAAAAAGCTTTCAGGGACACTCTGAAAAATGTGATTATAAATTCCAGTGCAGCACAGTACCACTAAAAAAGAAAAATAAGAAAAAGATCCAAGCTAAATCATACGAAGAACAGTTGCAGGAATTGGGTATGTCTAGTTTAAGGAAAAGAAGGACTAGGAGTGATATGATAGCAGTGTTCCAATATCTGAGGGGCTGCCATAAAGAAGAGTGGGTCAATCTATTTTCCAAAGAACCTGAAGGCAGGATAAGAAGCAATGGATGGAAACTAATCAAGGAGAGAATCAGCCTAGAACTAAGGAGAAATTTCCTGACAGTTAGAACAATTAATCAGTGGAATGACTTACCTCCACAAGTTACGGGTGCACCAACACTGGAGGTTTTTAAGAAGAGATTGGACAGCCATTTGTCCGAAATGGTATAGGGTCTCCTGCTTGAGCAGGGGGCTGGATTAGAAGACTTCCAATGTCCCTTCCAACTTGGTTATTCTGTATTTTTAATTTAATTTGGCATAATTTGGTCAAAGGTTTATGAGAAATTAGGAAAAAAACAAGAATTGGTGGGAGCTGAAAATATTTTGATTCATCATTAAGAGCACCTGAAAGAGTTTCAAACAGTATTCTGAACAGTATTATAAACAAAATACCTATATAGTGACCACAAAGTAAAGCTGTTTGTTGCAATCTTAAAACACATACACATGCCAAACAGTACCTTGACAAGCTTTCTCCACATGGATGAGTTCATCAGGAAAATTCAGGATATCTGGATAATGCAGTTCACATGTTTCTGCCAAGAAGTGAAGTAAGGTCATCTTCTGATCAGCTGACTTTGTGTCACGAAGCTAGAAGATATGAACAAGGCTACTGGTGAACAATGCACAAGAAGATGATTATTTTTTTATTCCTCCCCAGGCTTTTCTCCTCGTATTTACCTTGCAAAGGAAACTAATGTTGAATCCAAAGGCACCAGCATTCATGGAGCCAGAATTCATGTAGTTGCCCACAAGTAGGATAATGGAAAGAAGACTACCAAAGTTCTCACTATTGCGGAGTTCCTCACAGGCTGCTGTAACAGCAACAATATCTGGCTTTATATTTTCTACCTGTTCATTAAATTGTAGCTTGAAAAGTATAGCATTGAGTCTTGATGGCAGACGGGAAACTGAACTAATCTGTGAAGAAAAAGAGACACGGTCACACAAAAAGGAATAGGAATGAGGATAACAGCTTAAGGGAAAGAACAAAAGAGATCTGAGCAAGAGAAGACCAACAGAAACACAATTTACCAAATATGAATTCATTGATTACTATGTAGTAATGTAAGGAACATGGTTGAAAAACATCTCTTTATGACATACATACATACATACATACATACATACATACATACATACATACATACATAGTGTGATTCCCAAGAAATATTAGATGGCTTTAAGGAATTTGCAAATCCTGGAGTTACAAAAATTCAGACAACTGCTAGATAGAAAACTTTTTTTTGCCATTGTCCTGATTTTGCCACTGAGATCTAACAGCCCTAGTAAAAACCCTATATATAGAAACAAATACATAGCTTTTCCCAGTTGTAATTACAAGAGAATGGAATGGGCAAGAATGGGAAGTATCAATTTGTTGCTATATTTGGAATGAGAGTGTAGAAGATAGACAAAAATACTTTACTGTTTCTTCTCCCAAACCCACAGCAACTAAAAGTTTAAAAATCTAATCTGAGAAAATTTGCAGTACAGATAGTCCTCGAGTTACGAGTATAATGGAGACTGCTCATTCCACTCGTAACTCGAAAACTCGTAGAGTGAATATCGTTCGAGGTACGAGATCACTCCCTTGCTCATTAAAATGCACGTGGCTCGTTAGGTGAACATGACGTATCTCAGGGTGGGGAAGGCCATGGAGGGCCTAATGCTGGAACAGGCCCCCAAGGCCTCCCTGACCCACTAAGATACCGCATGCTTCCCCCTCCCTTCCTGTCATGCCGGACTCACCTGGAAAAGATCAGTCTCCTCTCTGCTGTGGTTCCTGCTGCCGCCCAGATTTGAGGCTGGGGAACGCTTCCGCACCTCCCTGCGGCCCGATCCAGGCTCTGGAGGCAACAGGGTCACTTTCTCCCCCTGCGCGGCGAGCTTTGGTGGGCTGAACGTGGGTGCGAGGGGCCCGGCCTTCTCCCTCAGTTGAAGGCTTTGGGCTTGCCATCAGGCAGAATGGAATTGGGGCCAGGAGCAGGAGACAGGCACCTTTTGCATAGAGAATGAAAGTTTCTGAGTTCTGTGATTTGGCACAACTTCAAACACTCACGCGAGATCATGGACTCCAGAAACTTCCATTCTCGGTGCAAAAAACATTTCCAAGCCGACTCTCCTCTCCCTCAAAGGGAAATAAACCATGACAGAGAGGACTTTTGCAAGGTAAGTGAGTCCGGTGTGGAAGGAAGGAAGGGGGAAGCAGTTGTGATGAGTGGGGAGGAGAATAGGGTGTATGTTGCAATGCCACTGAAGTCACTCATAAGGGCGAATGACTGCCTTGGTGCTGCAATATTTGTAACTTCAAGACTTGCTCATAAGCACTAAGGGATGCTCATCACGTAACTTCGAACGAACGTTAAGTGAACGCTCGTAACTCGGGGATCACCTGTACTTACTCAATGAATTTGATATAAAATAATACTTCGAATATTTTCAGAATAGGAAAAAATAGCATATGAATGATTGGAAAGACCTTGACTGAGTTCAACAATGATGGCAGTGCTCTCTTCTCAGATAAAATCTTACCGTGTTTTATACTGGCCTTTAGAGTATGGAAAAAGAAATAAGAGGAATTGAATTCCTAGCAGATATGAACAAAAATGATTTAATGGACATTAGGGAAATATTGTGGAACAGCTCTGATGACTGGAATATAAGAATGAACATAGATAACAACCACTATGAAAAATAAAAGACCTGCAAGTAGGCTGGTCCTTCAAATCACTCCAGGGAAAGAGAGAATGGGAAATAATCTACAACTGCTCTGAATGGCAGTTCATGAGAAGATCATGAAACTTTCATGAAATTAAGCATGAGGAGCCAAAAGAGATTACATTTTTGCTCTCAGTAAAATCTTTGCTCTTTGTTCTCAAAGCCTTTCATAAGGATAGTAAACTATCCAAACCCACTTTCTAATCACATTCAGAAATATTCAATTTAATCACTTTATTGATAGTAGAGATATTCAAAATGGCAAGCTTAACTTGGCATCTGGGTAGTTTTAACTTTTTTGAATTTAAGAAATTTTGAATAAGAATTTAAAGTAATACAGAACTGGAGAAAACCAAATACAATAAAAAAATATTTTGATTTAAGAAATTTTCAATGGTTTGGGAGCGATATCTTATTTTTGATGTAAGATTTGAAAACCAAATATATAATTAAATAATGTATTTGTGGAAAATAACTGGAATGCAACTACAGATAGCCAGGGGGTTGGCGGATATAGGTCTATTCTTAGACGCCTTGAAAACTAGATTTGAGGATCCAACCCGACTACAACGGGCAGAGGCACAGTTAGTAGGTCTACGACAGAGGGGCAGGCCAGTGCAGGATTATATACAGGACTTCCAAAAAGTTTCAGGGAGGCTTAGATCGTGGCCAGATCGTCTGCTGGTCCATCATTTTCGCACGGGACTAGATATTGACTTACGCCGGGCATGTGTGGTCAGAGGGATTGCAGGGTGCCTTTCCGAATGGTTCAAGGCAGCGGTGGAGTTATATGTTGGAGAAGCATCGCCTGACCGTTCAAAGTTACAACAGCACGGAAAAAAGTGACTTTCACACTTGCAATCATTGTAGCATCCCCATAGTCAGGTGATCAAAATTCAGATGCTTGGCAATTGATTCATATTTATGACAGTTGCAGTGTCCCGTGGTCATGTGATCATATTTTGCGACCTTCTCACAAGTAGTCAATGGTGAAGCAAGATTCACTTAATAAATGCATCAGTGAATTTCAGTGATTCACTTAACAACTGTGGAAAGAAAGGTTGTAAAATGGGGCAAAATTTACTTAACAAATGTCTCACTTAGCAACAGAAATTTTGGGCTCAATTGTAGTCATAAGTCGAGAACTACTTGTAATCCCATAATTAGTAACTGAGGCTTGATGAAGGTTGTAAATGGACACTAGAGGGAAATAAACAACCAGGCAGAAAATGAGTTAAAATGGTTAAGCGGCTATAACTTTTTCTTATCTTAAAACTGAAATACTAATAATAGAATGGATAGATTTTAATAGACAAACTTTTAGAAGATGAGAAAAACTACACACATTTATCTTGGATATTATAGTTTGAAGACATGGAAAACAATAAACTTGTGGTTACCAAAATGGAAATACAAAAAACAAATAAAGGATCTGAACATGGAACAGCTGCAACAAGAAATTCTAGACAATGCCACAATGGGAAGAACAGAACATGCAGCAACAAATTCTGGATGATACTTCTTTATGGGATTTGTAAGTTGGCTGGTGAAAGCTCTGAAGACTACTTTCAAATGCCAAAAAGTGATGAAAGATCAAATCCTATGATATCATAATAAAGATTTAAAAGTCAAAACTGTGCAGAGTAAAAAGAAGGAATATAATGTTGGACTACTTGATCAGGGATATTTCTGATAATTAATAATGGACTTTTTGCTAAACTAGAATTGAAAAGATGATTTCTGGATTGTGTATCCCTAGAAGTTAGGCCTTGGGGAAAAGAGTTTTCCTATTTGTAAATTTAAAAAAGGATGAACATATATTAGTTTATGCTTGGTGTGAAAAAGCTTGATGCCATTTCTTTCTTATTGCTCATATTGCCCTTTTCTTTCTTTTTTTCTACTTTTTTTCTTTTCTTTTTTCTGCACCTTCTGGATTTTTTTCTTCTAGTTTCTATTATTTTTTTCTCTGTTTATTAAAAACTTCAATAAAATTATTAACAACAAAGGGATATAAGAACTGAACAATGCACACAAATAATGCAAAAGGAAGAGAACTTGTAAGTATCTACTGCTGATTCACAATCCTAGAATAAATAAACTCAGCAAGATTATTGAGGAAATCAGGGTTAAAATAAGAGGCATATTTTAAAAAAAACACCATTATTGATGTCTAATACTGCCATCCAAAAGAGATGATGATGCTTCCAGAAACACGCCACACATGGTCCTTCTAAGAATTTCCTGACTTGTCTTGCTGATAATTTGCTTTTTCAAAGAATAAGTAACATACAAGTGATCAGCTATCCTTAAATCAATGCTAACCAACTGAGATGACTTAATTAAGAAAAAGGAAGGAGCATGAATGCTGATGTCAAGGTTCCGACTAATGAAGCATTTCAAAGAACTTCAGGCATGTTTCCTAAAGCCTTTATTACAGAGCTAAAAATTGCCGGTCACCATCATGGACGTTTTGATGCCAGAATCTGACTTCCTCTTGCTGGCATCAAACTTTTCTTGCTAAACCCCTCCCTTATCTTGCAGTCACAAGCCACATTATCCAATTAATGTGAAGGTCAAAAGTTTACTTCCTCTTTCTTTCCTGGGCTTTTTACCCCCCCCCACTCTAAGCTATGTATTAACCCAGTAAATACCAGACAGTTTTGCATATTGTCAAAGCAAGAATATATAGTATTTGCAGCATTGACATCCGGCCCCCCCTTACAAGGAGGACAGACCCTGTAAAGTAAACAAGAGCATATGTTAAGGGTTATTTTTCGGTTTGCTGGGGTGTTTCACATGAAACCTTTTGATCAATCTGTCAGCTTTCACTTCACTAGATTTCACCCAGGTGGCTTCAGACAACGGGTATCCCTTCCATTGTACTAAGTACTGTAATTTCCCTCTAAAGATTCTGGAGTCAAGAATACGTTTCACTTCATAGTGGGTCTGCCCTGCCACTACGAGGGGCCCAGGTGCCTTCTTTGGAGGAGGTCTTAAAGTGGAGCCCCGATAAGGCGTCAACAAACTACAATGGAAAACTGGGTGAATTTTCCCTAACAGTTTAGGGAGTTTTAGTTTTACTGTGACCGGGTTGATGATCTTTACTATGGGGAAAGGCCCCAAGAATTTCGGTCCCAATTTCTTGCTGGGCAATTTGAGGTGTAGATACTTAGTTGACAGATAGACCTTTTCCCCAACTT